CCAGCCGGCGCCAGCCCTCTGCTCCAAGCCCAGGGTGCCCGGAGCTTCCTGGCAGCCTCCCCGCTTGCCCAGGGCACCGGGCTGCGGGTCCTCTTGGTTCACCCATCCTTAAGGAGCATCCCTCTCATCCAGTTTTGGTTTCTGGGTCATCTGTCCTTCGGCGCCGTCTCCATCGTCCCGTTTTCCTCCTGCAGGCAAAGTACAAGGAGCGAGGGACAGTCCTGGCCGAGGACCAGCTGGCCCAGGTGGGAGATCCGCCCCTGCCCCGGCAGCGGGAATAACCGTGGTTGTGAGCCCAGCCGCCAACCTGGGCCTCGTTTCCCCCTCTGCTGCGGCGTCCAGAGCGTTATCCGCGAGCAGCGTGGACTGTGATGGCGCCCGTTGGGCCGCCTTTCCGTCAGAGCGCTGTGATGTTTGCTACAGGTCTCGCTCTGCCTCCCTTCTCGCTACCTCAGCCACATCTCGTGTCTGTAGAACTGTTTCTGCCCCACGTACATCACAGAATAACTGCTGCCCCCCTTCTGAGCCTGTCTCTTGGTTCAGAACAGCCCTTTGCCTTGTCTTATCTCCGCTGGTACTGGTTTGTATTCAGTGTTAAAAGCGTACACGTGGAGAATTCTGATTCCATCGAGCCATTTTTATCTTGTTTCCTTCCTTTAAGACCACTGGGGCCACCTGCACTGGGTAGGCGGCACGTCAGAGACCTGAGCGCTTCTCGAGGACTCTGCTCGCTTAGTGCCTGTTGGGGGCCGCGTTTACGGAAAAACTGCATTAAGTGTTAAGACAGAAACGCTTCTCTGCAATTCTCTTTCAGATGTCTAAGCAGCTGGACATGTTTAAGACCAACTTAGAAGAGTTTGCCAGCAAACACAAGCAGGAGATCCGTAAAAACCCCGAGTTCCGGGTCCAGTTCCAGGACATGTGCGCCACAATCGGAGTGGATCCTTTGGCATGTGAGGAACAGGCACCGGGGTTAATGACTAAGGATTCGTCTCACTGTTCTCGTACTGTAAACAGCTCGCAGCGAAGCTGAAGTTTCCTTGAGGAAAGCTGATGCTGTTTTGATTCTTGGGGTTTGTGAATTGGTGTAAGGTACCTTTGGGGGTTATTTACTTAAAGGGTGAGGGGAAACAGGTGGAGATAACCAAAATGGAGACCCTTCATTGACAGGTCTGGGAGTCCTCACAGCGAGGTTTGCGAGCAGTCTGCTTCGCGCCAGTAACTGTTAAGGAAGGATATTTTTGCCAATGGTCCAATCGCTTTCCCCTTTCTCACTTCACAGCCGGTAAAGGATTCTGGTCAGAGATGCTGGGAGTTGGAGACTTTTACTATGAACTGGGTGTGCAGATCATTGAAGTCTGCCTGGCTCTGAAACACAGGAATGGAGGTGAGGATCCCACCGTGTCTGGTTTCTAGGAGATACAGCGAATAGGAGGATACCTTTTCCCTGTGGAAAATGAGTCGCGTGGCTCAGTGTAGCGTCCTTTACTAGATTTCACAAATTACCGAGGTGGCAGTTTGGTCTTCATTGTCCTCAAAAAGCCTTGATGCGTTTCTACAACATGCTACAGCTACTCCACTGGCAATCACCCAGCTTCATAGATTCCTACAGAAATCAACCAGCTCTGCCCCGTTTAGTTAACAAAACTGTAACTCACAGTATCACGGGGAAGGAGCAGGGATCAATGACAATCTTGAAGGAGTACGAAACTGATAAGTTACTGCTTTGAGCCTGGCAGTAGGATTGTCTCTAAAGGATCACGGCAATGTCCGGAAGAGTTGGAATACCGGTCATAAGTGCCTAATGAAAAGATAGTAGATGTTCTTCACTCCAAAAGGGCAATCCGAGACCAGGAATGGGCTACAGCAAAGCCAGTTGAAACCTGAGTCCAATGCGTTTGTGGGAGAAGGCAACAGCTGACTGCTGCATGTTAGTTCTGGGAACAGAAGGGACTCGATGCTTATCTCACCCGAGGCTTGATACTGGGAACAATGAACAGGCGCTTGTAAAATGGAAGGCAGGGGTGAGCCAGTGGCAAACGCACAAAGGACCCTTGACTGCTCTTGCTGGAGTAATTTTGTTGCTATGCAGTAATGCTTTCCTGTCTCCTTTCGTTGACTCCTAGGTCTGATAACACTGGAAGAACTTCATCAGCAAGTGCTGAAGGGAAGGGGGAAGTTTGCTCAGGATGTCAGCCAGTGAGTGTCTGTATATTACAGGAAAGGGGAAACCAAGTAGCATTCGGGGAAGAAAAGGGGGTGACTGATCTCAGCAGCACTTGAAGGTGCTGCTGTTAACTGGACTCCAAATTTGACTTCTAGCAATGGAGCCACTTACACGTGATCAGCAATTAATGACTTAACCATTTCAGAAAGCAGCAGCGTGCTTTCTCTGGGAGCCCGAAGGCATAAAGGACTGTTGCCTTGAGCTGGAGACAATTAGTTCCCTGCGAATCCCGCTCTCTTACTGCCACAGTCTGCTGAAGCTGCTGTGGTCTCCCGAGCTGGAAGGGAGGGACCGATACGTGTCATTACAGAAGCAGATTTTAGGACACAACTCGGCACGATCACTAATTGGGGCTGAATCTTACAGTTTAGCACTTGCAGCTCAGGTGCTACGAGTGTGTCTCTACTGCAAGCCTGCCCTTCTGAGGGGGGGCAGAGATATACAAACTAATTCTAAATTGCTTTATAAAATTTTTTCCAGCTGTTGATTACCTAAAACTGCAGCAAGCTCCAAGGAGCTATTATTGCTCATAGCTTCTGCACGTCAAGTCTTCCTGATTTACAGAACGTAGGGTGCAGTTTGAGAGAGGCTCTCGCTTTAAAGCCTTGCATTGACCTCTGCTTCTCAGGGATGATCTCCTCCGTGCAATCAAGAAACTGAAGGTCTTGGGAAATGGCTTTGGGATTATCCCTGTTGGTGGAACATACCTGATCCAGTCTGTACCAGCTGAACTGAACATGGATCACACTGTCGTCTTGCAGCTGGCAGAGGTACTGAGCCAGGAGATTTTAAAATACAACCACCTTGAAAGAACCTTATCGCTTCCATGACAGGGAACTGTGATTAGGGCAGGCCTGTAGGCAAAACTGTCCACCCTCTCCTAAACTACGGACTGAAGTCTTGACTATAAGCACACGGTGTTTTTCCTCTCATTTCAGAAAAAGGGCTATGTAACAGTCAGTGAGATCAGGTCCAGCCTGAAGTGGGAGACGGAACGCGCAAAGCAAGTGCTGGTACGTACGAAGGTCTCTTGCGCGCAGTGGAGTTCAGCGACAGTGTAGCGTGCCTGCAGCCCCGCAGCAGACGCTTTGCTGGGGGGGGGGGCGTTGCCGCAGCACGCACAGGGGATCCTAAGCTAGCTGGTAGACCAAAGGCAGAGTACCCACTGCGTAAACGTAGACCGAGGAACGCAGAGTCTCAGAAGCTGCAGATATTCCTGTGGCTTCACTCATCTCCATTAAACCTTGAATCTCGTTAGCTCAGGTCCTACATAAACATGCGTGGTGGGCACGGCTGGATGTCCAAAATGTATTTCTCCCCGTCGAGTTGAGTAAAAATTACTGTAGCCGAAGTTCTACACCCTCCCTCACCGTAGAATAAACGTGGGGTCAGGCCTCTATTGTGAATGGCTTCTCGGCCGTTTAGTGAAGTTTCACTCACAGTTTCCGCTCTGTTTGTACAGGAACACTTGCTGAAGGAAGGAATGGCCTGGCTGGATACGCAGGCAGCAGGAGAACCTCAGTACTGGCTGCCTGCTCTCTTTACAGAGCTGTACTCTCAGGAAATCACTCCAGAGGAAGCCAAGGAGGCAATACCTTGACTGCTACGCGTCCTGTGCCTGATTATAATTCTCCTTGTGAGGTTATTTGCATATCACCCGAAACACAGGGACAGTGGACTTGAAATAAAAGTTTTGTAAAAAGTGTCTAGCTTGAACAGCTTGATAGGACTAATTCGTACTTACCTCTGAATTTTCTCCTTTGTTGTGGGTGGAAATGCCACTTACCATTACAGACAACCAATTACCTTGTCACAGCAAGAGGAAGATTATCTAAGCTGCTATTGCAACCGCAGTCTCGGAGGATGCAAACGTGACTCCGGCTAAAGAATCTTGGAGCCAACAGTGACACTGAGAAACTGTTCTGTGGTCCTCTCCACTCTGTGAATGAGTCGTCGTTCCACTAAGGAGTACCACAGTCTAGATTCTGCCAAAACAAACTTTATTGCACAAAAAAAAAAATCTTATGTACAATAGTATATAAACAAGGTATCTTAGAGTGACTCTTGTGCATATATTTTCAACTCAATTAGGTCTAAAAATCTGTTGCTAAAACGTCTGCCTAGAGCAGTCATTTGAGGATTGTCACTTTGAAATTGAAACATTCAGAAATGGTAGGACAGACAACATTAGAGCTATAAAACTAATACTTCTCTTTCACAGCCACATGCTAGTTATGTGAATAGTGTCCACAATAAGGCATTTTCTTGTTTCGTTGTTATCGGTGGATGGTAACGCCACATGCATCACAAACAGATTTCAGAACCAGCTCTGCCTTGGGAAGGCAGCAGAGTCACAGCTCTACCCACAATGCTACTGAATGGTGAAAAACAACGTGACATTTACAATGGGATTGAAGAGGCGGTAAAGTAGCACACAGCTCATGACTTCTCGGGAGACCCCTCTGCCCCCCAAGACCTCATTTCAAGGTGAACACCGCTTTATTTCATCTGGTGTAGGTGTTGAGTGAGTCCTATGTAAGTTCAGCTTTCCCTCGAGGGAAGACGGGGTTTAAGTCTAAATCAAGCCAATGACAGACCCAGGGGAGTTTGCTTGCTAAAGGGAAAAAAAAAAAGGTTCCCAAGCTGTTAAATGGCACCTTAACGATTCAGAAATGTTTCCACCTTTCAGCTTTTCAGAGCTGCTTAAGCAGCAGTGTGCAGGCTTCTGAGTTCTGCAAGAGTTGATATAAATCAGAGAGACTGAAAATAATTCAGTGACGCATGGGGCATTGCCTTTCTGTACAGCGCACGGCAGGGGTCTTTTGGCCCCTTTATTCTGCCTTTTTTTTTTTTTTTTTTTTTGAACAAAGATGACTGCATTGGAAGTTCTCCCACCACCCCCAGGAGTCCGAAACGGGGCCGAGCTGGTGGGAAGGTGTTTAAGGAAACTGGGAGAGGGCCCAGGACAATGTGCAACTTTTTGCTTAGCTTTCTATCAAAGCCCCCATTAAAAAAAAAAAAAAAGAAAAGAAAACAAAAGTAGATTAAGCTCTTTATCAACAAAACATTATACTACCCCAATCAATCACCACCAGGCTCATTTACCTGGAGAAACCGGGTATTTCACCTCCACCCAAGTTACACCGAATACATCTTGGACGCAATGGCACTCGCAGCCAGCAGACACCTCTCCAAGAGGCCGGCCTTCGCTCACAGTAAAAAGCTGTTGTTTAAAACGTTCAAAGCACTGAAGCGTTAAACTTCACGACACTCGGCTAGCTTGCGCTCGGCCAAGTTTGGCAAAGGAATTTGTCAGTAACAAGGCGTACACCTCTGAAGAACTCCACCCAGAAACAGTGGCTTCCTTAGCTAGAATTGCCCCTTTTTCTAGCGCTTCAATCTGACGGATCAAGGTAGCGGTGGGGAGTGCGGTGGCAGGAGGAATAAGGGAGGAAAATGAGATATTACACGGAGCAGAGAGGTGGAAAGCAAAGAGTACTTCAGTTAAGGAAACAAAACAGCTCCATTCAGAGCAGCCAGTATAAAATACTTCTAGAATGCTAAATTCAAATCAACACCTTAAAAAAATAATACACAAACTAGACTTATTCTTAAGTGCTCCCCCCATCTCTGACCAATGATTTTCTCGCCCTCCCTTCCCCAAAACGCCAGGGTGAACACACCTGCACTCGATTTATGGATTCTTGCAGCTTCCACTTTTCATCCGCCCCTTTGCGCCTGAAGTCTCAGTGGACGAAGTCACCCAGGGCTTGAGTAAAGCTTTCAGAAAGGAGCCCAGATTCCACCACTGCTCTTTATCTTTGGTCTGTCTAGAACAGTGTCTAGAAGAAAGACATCAGGTAGATGGGCTCCACAGAGCAGAGAGGCTCCATCTCTCCCAACCCGCTCAAAAAGGTTTCGCCTGGGCACACGGCGCGTGGGCCCTGTCATACCCTGGACTCATCAAAGCGCTCCCACAGCTACAGCTCCACATTCAGCACGGCCCCAGGGAAGGGCTCACTGTCTAGGAACAGAAAAGCTGTAAAGAGGATTCGCAGTCTGGATCTCATTCTTTAATCAAATGGAGGAAAAAAAAAAAAAAAAAAAAAACAAAAAACCAACCAGTGTAGGTGTTTCCAAAAAATAACCTGACGCCACATGCTCCAGCTTTCTAGCATAGTAAGTACCTTTTAAGAGTAGCCTGTCACAAGCTTGGCTTTGTCTAGCATGAAGTCTTCTCGTTCAGCGTTATCCACCAGAGCAGTAAAAGGAGACAGAAGACATCCCGCAGTTTTCTCCGCTCTGGCGTTGGTTTGGTTGTCGAGTCTGTCAGGGGTACTCTAGAGTGTGAAGACAGAACATCCCCACGGCTTGGCCTCTCCACTGTTACCGTAGCTCTAAGCTTTAGAGCAACCTTGAGTGTCTGTCTCTGTCTCGGAGGAGCTGCTCTCAGAGTCTATTTCTGTATTCTCCTGCTGGTGTTTCTCTTGCACCTTCTGCCGAATTCCTTGCAAACGCACTAATAGGGACTGATAGTCAAAGTGGCCTCGTTTTTCACCAAAAGGATCCTGGAAGAAAACCATAGATAAGCCTATTAACATAGACCATTATCCTTCCGGCAAGAGGCAGAAAGAAAAAAAGCTGCGTAGTAATTGGGCAACAAATGGTCAAAGACTTAAGGGTTAAATCCCATCTTACGATGGAGAGGCCCCTAAACTTCCCACTGTCGTGGCAGAGGTTGAAGACTGAAGATAATTTCTGTTTGGAGTCTCTTTTGGGAAACCTTACAAACCCAAGCAAACTTCAAAAACAGATGGAAGGCCAGGCAGACACGGGCTGGATTTCTGCTAGCAGCTTTGAGGAAGTAAACTATTTCAAAGATTTGGTCTCAGGCCCACTCCAAGGAGGCAGGGAAAACATTACAAATGAAAACCCCTAAAATCCAGAGCCCAAAGACTTGACGACACCTTATATTAGTGCTACAGACCCTTTCCAAATAAAAGCATCACTATTCTCATTTTAAATCAAGGCCCCCAGCTGAGATGTAGCCAAGTCAGAGGCAAAACGTCTTTGGAGATTATTTAACATTTGCTGCTTTTATCCCCGTCTCAGGTCAAAGACACATTGCCAGGGCTATACAAGGTGGCGGTGGAGTTTACGCTGTCCTATCTGATGGGAATCTTTGGTACAAGCCAACCTGTGGCCCTGGAGTTAACAAGACAGCCCATCTGGCAAGCGCTCAACTGAGCCTGGAGTGACTTCATTTGAAATACAGGGTAATGAAGACAACAATGCCATCTCTCCAGCACGTTGTGTTCATGCTTCCTGCACTACTATTTACAAGTGAGCAGAAAACAGACCACGGCAGTCACTGCCTCTGGGAACTGAACACAACACAGTCCCAGGCCACAGTCCATAAACCCACAGAGAAAGCAACGGAGCCCTGGCTCCTTGAAGGAGAAACAACAGCGGGCTACACCTGACAATCCTCTAATGTCACCAAACTTCACCACGCAGCCTTCAGTTCAGTACTCTCTGAAGACACAGCCCTTCCTTACGGGAGTTTCTCACTCCAAACATCAACTCCCCTGCTTTGGGAGTGCTTTCAATTTATGAATTACACAGCCAGTGAAGGCACTGATAGGAAAAAAGGGCTCAGAGACACAAGATCATTAAATCAGCCACCTCCATCTTTTCTTAGCAGTGGAATTTCTCAATGAGTCAGACAAGAGGTGGCTGATGAGGGTGGAAGACACATCTGTTCATATGCAAATAGTTTGGCAACCTATTCTTTAAAGTCTACTTTCCCGCAGAAACAAGCTCCTGTATTCAACCTGTCTAGATGGGTCTGCTGTATTGTCACTCTTCCCCCACTCCTTCCTCCTCCAGTAACTTTTGACTCAGTCAGCCACTTCCAATCTCATCTGACAGAACAAGGAGCATCAGAGAAAAGTTCCTATCTGCTGTATGAGCAAAGGAACCCCAGAAGAAGAGAAACTCTGCCAGCGACCCAACAGGAAAATACTGCAATGGAGTTCAGTTGCCACCAGCATTGAATAACCTGCATGTGCCCTCCCTGCTTAACACCAAATCCACATGAAAGCAAACTCTACCGGTTCCACTGCTGAAAGAAGTATCTGCCTGCCTGGAGAGTGGCTCAGGTCCAGCACTCCGAGAAGCCTAACGGCCTTGAAAACACTGCGTGCATACTCTGCACTTGGGGAAGGTAGTGTTTTATCTACAGGAACGTCTCAGGTCTTAGTTTCATGGTTGATTCAAAGTTGGAATAGACATTTCATAGAAAAGATCCAGATCCACGCCACGAACCTGTAGGTGCTGCACATTGTGGTTTGTCACTAACCATACACCCTTATCTAAGGCAGCGTGTTATCAACAAGTAAATTGTCTGCCACCCACCTGCATTGTCTGTCCTTGGAGGTAAAGTCTCTCTTTACACACCCCTTCATAGAAGTCGTAGTATTCCATGAAGGATTTCTCCATTACGCCCCTGAACGCAACGAGAGAGCAAACAGTCAACACAAAATGACAGCGTTCCGACGGTCACATCACCCAGGGTCACCCCCATCCCACCGAACTCCAGTTCATGTAACCGGTGTGGACGCCCACGCAGGGTGTCCCAGACAACTAACGGGGTACAGCGAGGCAGGACACAGAGCGAAACGAACTGCAGCATCACTGCAGCTGAAGAGATTCTGCACGTGTTTCCACAACAGCTGTGCTCCCCTCCCTCCGAGATTTTTAAGACAAGGCACGTTTATATTCAAACACAAGTCAGAGGATGCAGCCGTTGTGCACTTCAACACGGCCTTTGTCAATGCACAGCTCCCGGGCTCCACACAGACGCAGCCATCCACTTCAGGGGAAACAAAACAACCAGGGAGAGTTAAAGACTTGCTCTTCCCTGGAGCAGCTCTCAGGATTTCAGGAGGGGCAGCCAGAGAAGTTTATTCTGCTTCCCCACGCCCACTTGCTTATGCTCCCTCCACGCCTCCTTTCCATACCGTAACGGCTCAGGACAGGGACACTTTCCTTCCAGCATGTCGCACACTGCTACCCGGATGGTCTCATGCCGAATGCACTCATTGTAGTTCTTGCTGTCCCCGGGGTGCCTCTCCTGGAAATAGAATTTGGGCCAGTGAGTCCATGTGACTGCAATGGCTCTTCGTCTCTCCCTCCTGGGTCCGATGAATTTCACTGGTGCACGAACCCCACTACGGCTTTGTCTGTTCCGTGGATGCTGAGCTAATTTATACTGCAGATGAAAAGCTGGCAAGATTTTACATGTCTCCAGAGCCTCGGACTCACACAGCTGTGGAGACAGGTCAACTGATACAGTTAGCACAGAAACCTGCCTCTCCGAGATGCTGGAGACCATGAAAACCTGAGCAGTCTGGTTCCTGCGCGACAATATGTCCCAAGGAAGCCATTTCAGGAGTCGCGTAGCAGAGAAATGAAGAGCCATCCCACCTCCCCGGCAACTTCTCGAATGCCTCTTGTTCTGTTACCTTACACATACGTGAGCTAAGCAGCCTCCGGTTCAGAGCTGGCTTGCAACTCCCCCTCAAGCTCTGACTAGAGGCAGAGCAAGCTGGAAAAGCGCCAAGTGACATAACCTACTTTTGTCCCCATTTCCAGAATGGGTTTTGCCACCAGGAGCACGGGGTGGAGGGAAAAGACAAAGAGCTGCAGAACCAGGGACGATCCACCTCAAACTCTCACCTGCTCAAAGCCGGGTTCATTGTGATAGGGGTTCTCGGTCATCAGAGACTGGATGGAGATGAGGACTGAAGAGATACTCTGTGCTGGGCTCCACGCAGGCCCGGTCCAAGTGCTGA